TGGATAGAACAACTGCTGTTGTCTGTCCACATTGTGGTACCTATTCAGCAACCCGCCTAAGCACCCTTTCAATTGCGAGTCGAACCATGTTCCTCAACGACTCCTGGCCAGACGCAAAGCGTCCCTCAGACACGGCGAGACAGATTTCTGTTGACCGATTAGAAAAAAAAAATGCAATTCTTGCGGCGATTCGAGCGTGGCAGGCAGAGTAGGGTGTGATGGGAGCCTGCGCCAGATATTTATCGCAGCAGCTAATGAACGACGCAGACTGGCTTGCTCAGGCATCGCCCGGGCCCTGGCTCCCAGCCCAAAGCAGCAGTGGGAACCGCCGTCCGATGTGAGTCTCGTCTGTGATGCCGGGCTTGGAGAACGGCAGGATTTTTTTTTCCTACCCCCTTTGGGCTTTTTTATTTATTTAATGGAAGTAGTTGTGAATAGCGAGGTCCAATTCACCGTTGCCGTCAGACAGGGTGGCAGCTATCCAGCGAGTCGAGTTCTGGCCCGGCTTCTGTCACTTTGAATTGCTGAGGCCGAAGCTGGGTGGGTGGAACACACACACAAAAAAACCTGTATAAATAAATAAATAAGTGTGCTCACAAAGGGACATTCGACGACATCCTGTAATTGAGGATCTCTGCAGGGATTTTTGGCGCCGGAGGTAGAATTTGTCTCACTGGCTGCTTGGAGTGTGACCAAGCAAACATTTGCTCATTCTTTGTTCTCGTTGAGCTATGGGCCTGTTATGTGCCTACCGCGAGCTGTCCTTAATGAACAAATTAAGCGGCGTTATGTATACTGTGCGGTATTTACGTCGCTTGAGGTCGTTTGTGGGCGTTCGACTCTTGTTGTCGAGTCAAAGCGACTTCCTGTTCAAGTTCATGGCCCGCCGATGCTCATCGCCAATGGTGGCACCGAGCCAGCATCCTGGTGGAAACACCACATTACTATGGCCGGGGCCAGTCTCACCATCTGAACATGCCACTGATCTCGATTTAAAGCTTTCGTGACTGCAGGGATTCATCTTCTTGGTTCTTTCGGTAAAGTCACGTAGAAGGGAAATAATAAAATGATAAAAATAAAACATAAAAATAATTATCACGACGTTTCGGCTACAACGCTTCGGCTACAACGCAAGCAAGCAGCCGTCCTCACCTGAGGACGGCTGCTTGTGTTGTTGCCGAAACGTCGTGAGAATTATTTTTAATTATGTTTTAATTTATTATTTATTATTTCCCTTCTACGTGAATTTACCGAAAGAACCAAGAAGATGCAACTGATCTCCCACAAAGCGATACGGAAATTATTTCGGAGACCGCAAATTGGGTAACGAGTGTGGGTAAAGGAACGGCGTATAATATTGTGGTTGCTGAAAACGCCTTAATAACCCAGATGGAGAAATAATAATCTACGCAGTTGAAGCAATTTCGGCGCCACTAATGCAAACCTTTGCAGAATGTGGCACGATCATGTGACATTGTTACGCGTTGTTTTTGCGCCAGCGTCGGCGGAGAATAATTGGAAGCAGTAAATTGTTTCATTTTAATTTTCCTTTCGCAAAGTATGCGTGCTAATGAAGGGAACCCATGAGGTGCTTAGCAAGAGGCTGGCTGCTTGCCAGGCTGCAGGAAAGGGAGCGCGGTTGCCTGTCACTGGCGTGAACGTGTGATTGCTGTGGGCTTGCCATTTTCGTGAGCGTGTTGCACCTAACCTGCATTCCTAATGCGTGTCCCTGCTTTCAAAGTCCGTGGAGAATAACTCCTTTAAAATTTAAATATATATATGGAAAAGTCGGTGTATTCAAATGGTGTTTTCTTTTTTTTTATGGATTTTGTTGTTGTTGCATGTACCGTTTTGTATTATACGAAGGAAAAGTGTGATTTATAAAAAAAGTACATGTTGTATGTAGTTTTTTTTTAAGCACCATTCGCTGGATAGCGTGGTCAGATTTTAGTAGGTAAGGTAAAGCGTGCTTTACCAGCTGAAAAAATGTAAAGGTGCAGCCCTGCAATTGCTTTCTCACTCCACTGCTGGCAGAACGACCTCGAATCGAATCGGCTCTGAGAGAGCCCCTTTTTGAAAGTGTTTGGACTTCTCTTGTAGGCTGGCCAGACCTTTTGTAAAAGGTGGGAGGACTGACACTTTACCCCATCAGGCAGTAGGGGGAATTAAATAAATGTATCTCCAGTGTTTCAGCTGCCACGCCTGGAGATTGAACTGGCGACCTCTGGGTCGCAAGTCCAGTGTGCTAAGCGTTACGACCACGGTAACATCATAATATTGTGTTTGTGTATATATTGAGGAAGCATCTCTTCCCGATCAAATAAGCACGGAGCTGTGCTTACTTCCAGTGATGGCCGTAATGTGCTGGTATTGGAAATGCTCCATTCTTTATGGGATGGGTCTGTCTCTTCGTAGGATAGCCACCATTGATTTCCCACCTACGATGGGCCGAGACGACCCTCGACTGGAAATGTGAACTCTCAACTTTTCCATCACGAGTCAAGTTGCTCAAGCCGCAGTGCCACCCAAAAAATCCGATCGAACGAAAACGTTCTCAATAAGAATTGCTTCCAAACGCAATGCAATTCATAAAATGGTAGCCGAGTGAAATGAGTGCATTTCAAGCATGGGGTTTTTTGCTCCACCTCTGCTTCATACCGGACTCTTCATCAATTCACTCTTGGACGCAGGCCTTCCCATGTCAGTTGTGGCGGTTGAATGGCCATACTTCACCAAGCTGGTCAATGTGGTTTGGCGTAGAGGGAAGTTTGCCTAGGAATGGTTCAGATATAATTTGCCATTCGAGTTAGACGTGGCCAGGTCTCGAGCCCAGGTCACCGTGTCCGCAGTGCGCTAGCTACTACACTGTTGCAACAACGACGACGACGACCTCCATTCGTCCCCGAGTGGCGGTGACGTCCCCACGGCGCTTGTGCCAGGCCAGGTGCACTCCGTGTCCACGCGAAGTGTCGGCGGCTCGCTTGCTGGCAAGGAGGTCACGCGGCAGCGCCAGGCTCCATGGGTTGACTGACTGAGATGACTGGCAGATGCACCGCCAATGCTCGCCACACGGACACGGACACACGCTCTATGTGGCTTTGTGTGTATCGCCATCAAAACGGCAGAGTTAAAACTGCTTCAGAGATTCAATCTCCGGGCGTGGCAGTTGACAACATTCTGCCTAGCTTCTTAAATGACACACTCCCCGCCCCCGCCTCTGTCCACCCAGCGGTATAAATCGATCCACCGTAGTTAGCCAATCGATCGGCAGGTGGTGTCTGACCAGCTTAGAAGAGTAGGCAAAGCACCCCACTTTTTTAATACATATATATAGAGGGGGGGGGGGGGCTCTCTCTCGAGCTCACTCCGTGCGGGGTCGCTTCTGCCGGCAGCGCCCCGAGTTGGGCGATTGCAGGGCCCCACCTTTGCCTCCAGCTGTGTGCCCTGCCAGAGAAGCGTACGGGGAGTGCCGCGGTGGCGGTGTCCTCCACCCGCAGGCGCGCGGCTGTTGGAGGGAGTCCAGAGGCCGCCTGTCAGGCGCGGGCGCAGTGGGAAGAGGGGGGGGGGGTGGAGCTGGCAGCAGGAACCACCCGGGGCTCCAGGACACGTTGTTCCCACCGTGCCCCGGGCCCCCCCCCTCTCTCTGCCACTGCCTTTGTTTTTGGGTGTTCGGGGCAGCGGTTCAGAGTTGGTGAGAGTTTATTCCTCAACAATGCTTGTCAAGGAACGTGAGTACGTCTCTCTGTGTTGACTGACTGAATCTGTCAGTCATCGCGGTCGGTCAACCCATATGGCACCTGGGTCTGTCCCGTGACCTCCTTGCCAGCAGCGAGCCTTCGACACTGCACGTGGCCTCAAAGCGCACGTAGCCTGGCACAAGCGACGTCACAGCCACTTAGTGACGAATGGCGGTTGTTGTTGTTGTTGTACTTGTCCGTTCACTCCTGTTTGCGGAGTCGAGATAAGATTGCTGAAATGTGGCCAAATTTACTTTACCTTCCGTTGAGTCATTTCCCTGCCGGCTGCAAAAAAAATCTGACGTATTGCGGCTGACTTGAATGTCTACGCCAGGCGTACGTTTCGAGGCAGTTGATTATTATTATTTACGTGCATGTCCAACGCATCTTGCAATTTTTACAATTGCCCTCGCATTAAGTACTCGGGAATAACAGGTCTACGTTGCACAAAAGTGATTTGAAAAAAGAAATAACAACAACGTACCTGCAATGCAGCGTCTAGTAAATGTTTCTCAAGCTCCACGTGAAATGACAAAATCTGACAATTTCACGCGACAACTTCTGAAGAGAGACAGCCTAGATAATACGTTCTGAGGATATCTATGCCAAGTGAAAATCTGCCAAGTTCTCACAATACGTTTATGGGTGAGCCGCAGCGACGCATTCAAGGTCACACCTCGACTATAGCCACATCCTGTCGGATTACAGGGCGCTCGGGGCATGGTGTAGCGATGCTATGCTCCTCTTGCTGCACTTGATATGTTGGTAGGCGAGTGGCGATGATTTGACTCGTCGACTTAAAATCGATTCTCACGTGCACGTGAAATGTTGTGTACCACACCTCCGAGATCTGGTTATTTACGGTTGTGTGAACTCTATGGGGTGGAAGGTGTCGTCGGGGAGCATAGACCACCCAGGAGATGGAGTGATGAAATCAGTTCATGTACAGGTGCTGGGTGGAATATTACATGGCAGGATTGTGAGAAGTGGTGGTGGTGATAGCTTGGGGAGGCCTTCATCCAACTATGGCTGGTGCTGACGACGAAGATATCAATGACAAAATATACAATCAAATGATCCATCCTCCTCCATGAACCTATGACATCGCCGCTTCTGAAACCCCAAAAAAACTGAGAAACAATAAAAACGACACTTTATAAATAAGACAAAATTATATTCTTGAATGGAATCGCAACCCTGAATCACATCTCAGTAGTTTATCAACCCTCGCCCCTCCCTCTCCCCCCTCCCTCGCGGCCACAGAGAGCGAGGAAGGTGTTGGCGGCACCCCGGAGGAGCCCGAGGAGGAGAGCTCCGCGGTGACCAGCGCAGGCAAGTTGCCGTCGTTCTGCGTGCTTCTGCACGGCAGCCTCAAGGTGGAGGGCATGGTGGCTCTTGTGCAGCTCGGGTAAGCAGCGACACCCCCCCCCCCCCCACGGAAGGGACACACGCCCAGAGAAGCAAGCGGGTCTCGCTTCCACGATTGCGCTCTACGGCTCTTCGACGTGTTTTCGGGTTGTGCCGCGCGTGCTGGGAGATTGTCGGGGAGCTCGTGACAGGAGAAGCTTCCGGCACGTGGGGGAGAAAATGTCAGCCGTGGTGCTGAACGAACATGCGGTACTATCCAAAAACACGCCGGAGGGAGCGACGAGTGGGCGTTGTGTTGTCGAGGGGCACCACGTGCGAGCACCGCAGGCCATTGGACGTGAGTTTGAAGCTTTGTCGTGGAGAGCGGGGGGGGGGGGGGTCACTCCCCGTGGTGCGACCGTGACGTTGTAGCACATCGTGACCTCTCTGACGTCGCCATGGTATGGCTGCGTTACACGGCTAAGTGTTGCGTTGCTGATATGTGAAGACAGGGAGAGCGTCATTGGGGAAACCACGCTGCCCTCATCATCTGTTTTACGCTCGAGTCATCTGGTATAACTTTCACCGAATTGGTGGAACGGTTGTTCGCGAGGTGTGCGATGAAACCAGCGATGAGTTCGATTCCCAGCCATGGCTGACGTCGGTGATGTGAAATATCTGAACCAGTTTGAGTCCTCTCCCTAACTAATCCGCACTGACTAGCGTGGTGAAATACGGCCAGAAAACCCTCATGGCCGACATGGTGTGGGGAGTCCTTTATCCAGCAGTGGATTGACAATGGAATGGAATAAATTTATGTTACTTTAGTCACAGCTGCATCGTGACATACAAGTGAAACATGTAAGATGTATTTATACCCTCAGTAAAGAATGCAAAGCGACTCCTGGATCTTGTGCAACTCCCATTCACAAGTGTAGCCCTCCGTGACCCAGGATAAGTCATGACATGCACACACGGAGGGGAATTTGAGACCTCTAATAGCGGCTGCGCAGTGCTCTGTGAAGCCAAAGCCAGGATTTCAGAGGTTAAATTGAAATGTTCTCTTTACAGAGACTCGATTGAAAATTGCAGCACTTCTGCAATTCGATATTGTTTTTGATAATTAAACCAAATTACATCTATTCGTTTCTTTGGGCAGCGACTCGCTTTTAAAATTCACACTTGGTCAAACAGCTGCCACCACCACCAAATGTCAATCACTGGACAACAACACTGGGCCCCGTGAAACAGTTCCAGATGGCCGTCTCTGTGGCAGGTTCAGGATTCATTCGATATGTTCAGCTCTTTCTCTTGCTCTCTCTTTGAAATAACAAGACATCATGAACGTTATATTGTGTTTTTTAAGTCTGGAGTTGGTGAGAGATATTTAGTAATGTAAAAGGACATAGATGCATGGTCCGCATTCCATGAATAACGGTGATTTTATTTCTTACATGTGTGCATGTAAACTAAATTACTAAACTAAACTGTTTTTATTATGCAAGGTTAGGTCCTACTGAGCTGTATAGCTCTATTTCAGAAGTGACCTGGTCATAAATGATAACTCAACTAAGTGGCATATCACGTGATCATTTACAGCAGCCACATTTTCGAACGCTTGTTTCTAAAAATGTGGAGGGAAAAACCAGAGGACCTTGAGAAAAGTCCACGCGAACACGGGGAGAGCATGAAATCTCCAAATATACAGGTGTCGGTGTCAGGATCGAACCCACGACCTCCTGCATACCAGGTGAGGGAGTTAACATCTCCTAGCCACCGTGGCGCCCCGTGCACATTGGCATGGCTCCTTGTGATGTTTCATTATAAATCCGATAAGTGAAAGCAGTTGCAGTCGTTTGACCATGCTTAGTGTGCTGAATACACACACACACACACACTGTTGTGTCATTTATAAAATCTGCAGGTAAATTCGCAAAAAATTAAGCTTTAAGTAATTGCCACGTCTTTTCCTTTAATCTGCATTAAAATTACACTTAATCTCGAACAGCAACGCTCTAGGCAAAAGCCACGCGAATTCTCATCCCTAAACGGTATTATTTCCTCTTCGCGCCATGTACGGCAAATGCACTCCGTATAATTTTGCCAAATTCGTGCTCAGCAGCCGTTTAGAATGGCGCACCTGGCACTGGGTCGATGCACGCTGCGCTCAATCACCGGCTCGCACGGGGCGAGGTGCCTCCGTTGCTCTGTGCAACTACATACGCCGCGTGCCATCTGCGGACATTATTTTCACCAATATATACACACACACACAGACGCTTTACGTGCGATGTTTATTTCCACAATCGTACTCTGAACAAGTGCGACGAGTGCCGTATGATGGTCTTCCTCCCTCTCGGGCGTTGGCCCGGCTTAGCAAATTTCAGTTTGGGCAAATTTGGACGGCTTTTTTGCCACCGCCTTCAACGATGTAAACTCTGCCGCTCCCTTTTGTGTGCGCGCTTTTCTGTTTTTCATGTCACAGATCCCGGCTTCATGCTCAGTCCCCAGAGCGACGCGTCCCGTGTTTGTCGCCACGCCTGTTAGAAGACAACCGCGAGTCAAAGGCGTTATTGGTGGAAGTGCTTTTGATGGTCGTTTCAATGATCTTTTCACAGAGCCACGGGTACCGCGCGCTCGCGTGCAAGTTCATTTTTATTTTCCAATTATAAAACAGCGGCTTCCACCAGTTTCATCTTTTGTTATCGGCCAACGGGCCATTAGCGTTGACGGGGAAAAAACTTTTTTACGTTACTTAATATGCTTCTAAATGCGCGCAGAAACAAATACACGGTCGCAATAAGCAGACGTTTGTTTTGACGGCTTGGCTTATTTGCGCAGAATTACATGGAGCCGATAAGCCTTTTTTTAATTGCATGACACTGCTTATAAAGGGATTATCCAAGCATAAAAATAATCTTCCGTACAATGCAGCTGCTCAAGCTGCTTTTTTGACTTTCGGCCAACTCCCGATTGTAGCTGCTGGTGGCCCCTCTCGAGGCAAGGGGTGGCACCGGATGTGGCCTCTGCACACGCTGAGCAAATGCGGCCTTCTTTAACGCCGTCTGTAAATGTTGTCTCCATCCGAGCGTATTTAACGACGAGGATCTCCCATCTCGCCTTATCGACCGTCGGGCTGAGTGCTGTTGGCGAGCACCTAGGAAGGTTGGCACCGGGGTGATGTGGTCAGCGCTGGCTTTTTCTGTCAAGCACCGGTTTGATACTATGCGCGGCCGATGCCGTGCGTGGTTAGGAATCAAATCACTGCCGTGGGGATTGTAGTGCAGTGTGATAACAAATGCGTTTGCCGACACAGAGAGACACACAAGTTGTTTATAATAAATGCAGTCTTTTTATTTCCCATTGCCTTTAAAAAAAATTCCTTTCACGTACAGCCTTTAATCCATCCACTGCTAGATGAAGTCCTCTCCACACCGTATCGGTTTTGCGGGTTGCTCAACCATTCTTCACCACACTGTTCAGTGTGTAAAGAGCGGAGGCCAGGACCGGTTTAGATAACACTGGTCAACACACTTTTTCTGGCATAAGGTATTTCAACGGTTTTAAGGTAATTTTGGGGTGCTGATTCCAAATCAGTTTTTGTCTATCACATCAGGTTTTTGAGATATCAAATATTGCATTTTAAATAAAAGCTGCAGAAGAAAAATATTAAATAAATGTGGATATCTACATAAAATGATATTATAAACACACTATCCTAAAAATACAGCACCATATTTTAACACTAAAGCAGTCACTGACTCGCAACAACTTGCAATCATAAGTGACAGAGTTAATTTCGGGTAAAATCAATGAAAATGGGGTATACCGATAGCATAAAAATGAGATGTGATAGAGCAAATCTGAGATCAGATTTGGAATCAGCACCCTGAAATTAGTCTAAAACAGCTGCAAAAGTCCAGGCCAGAAAAAAATGTTTTTTTTTGTTGACCAGTGTTATCATTATCATTAGTCGTGCCTGGGAGATGAAACTTGGATCGCTGTTTGTTGGCAGCGCGGTGCACTCACCGCTGTACCACCACTCTCACTCCATTGCCATTCGTGCGGTATTTTAATTTTCTTTCTGTCGAAGTCATTGAGGAGCATTCCATATTCTTTTGTACAGCCGACAATGAACTGTCCAATTTGCTTGAGCTGCATGGCACGATATGCTTTTGTCGGCTTGAAGCTGGAGGCTTGACGCTGCCCTTGTACCATCTGTAGTCTCATAAAGCCATTATTAGAATACTCGTTGAGCATGAATGTGTAATACGCCGTTTCCAGTCTGCTCTGACGTTAGATTTTGAGTCGCTAATGAGTCGCGCCCAGGACTTCCATGTTAAGAGGCCTAATTATTAAATTTGCAAAGTATGAATTGTGCCTGAATATAATTTGGTTCACGGACTGTTTCTCCGCATTTCTCGCTTTGAATGTATTCATGGCAACACGGCGCCGCACGTAACTTGTCGAGCTGTTTAAAGTCTGGGACAGTTGGAGCCAATCGTCACGTAGGTGGCACCGCACATCTCACGTGTGGCTACGGAGCTAATCACTCGTAATGCACCGGGTCTCATCAGATCTCTTCGGCTAAGTGGGCTTATGCCTGGATAGTGCTTGAGAGGGGGTCCACCATGCATCACACGTGTGAAAGTCTGTGGGGCTACACGGTGGGCAGCAAAGGGCAGTGCAGAAAATCTGTCATTGGACGTACGAATTCTAGATTTGAAGCTTTCGTGACTGCAAGGATTCATATTCTTAGGTTTATTCAGTAAAGTCACGTAGGAAAAAAAACCTAAGAATATTGGACGTACGGCCAAATAACCCCCACGAAGAGACTCAAGTGTTGGCCGACCCTCATCCAGCCAGTAGATTGTGCAATGTGCATATTCCATGTGTGGTACCACGGTGCGGCACCGTATGTCACTTCCAATGCACAACGTCAGTCCATATCCGCGACCTTACAAATTGCACACAAATGGATGCAATGAATATCACGTCGCGGTCTGGTTTTCTCTTGCAAGTTTCAGATTTACTGCAATACACCCGTCCTTGGACGGGCTA